TCTAAATATTTTCAAAATGTTAACTCTCCTTTATTTTGATATAGCTTCTGGAAGAATATATAACATACATACTTCATTTCTTTTGTAAATTACAAATGCTGAACTTACTATTCTATCGTATTTATATTTTATTTAATTTATATATTGTGAATGTACCTATACCAACACAAATATGCAGAGTCAGAAAAGAATTTACCAGAGTTTTTTGTTTGTTTCTTTGTTTGTTTTCCTTTCTTCCACAACCTGTGTCATGGGTATTGAACTCAGAACTTCAGTGTTGGCATCTGCTGAGTCATGTGGCTCTATAATTTCTGTTTTACACAAATATCTCAACAACTGATTTAGTTAGTATGTAATATATTCTCTTTTTTGTTTGTTGGTTGGTTGGTTTCTTTATTTCATTTTTGTTTTTGAGACGGGATTTCTCTGTATAGCCTTGGCTACCCTGAACTCTGTAGACCAGGCTAGCCTCTAACTCACAGAATTCCACCCTGCTTCTGCCTCCCTTAGTGCTGTAATTAAAGACTTGAGCCACCGTGCTCAGCTCATAGTACAGTTTTCAAAGGAACAGTACTTAAGACAAAGTTGAGTTAAGCCTGACACTGTAAAAATTAGAGATGAAGGATTATGGAAATGTGTGTAGTTTAGTTGTCATTTTTATAATTTGACTATTTATAAATTACATATATATATCAATTATATATATGATCAATTTGACTATAACATCACATAAATTGATTATGGTGTCTATGTTCCAATATCCTACAAATAATCATGGAATGTTAGCACAAAAGGAATATATGTTTGAATGTGTATACATTTGTGTGTCAGAATCTTCTGAAATGAACATTATATTCAGCATATAATATGACAGATTGCTTATGTTGTAGATTGGAATTAAAATTTTTTTAAATATTTCATTTTTAGATCATGTGTACATGTGAATAATTCATACATAAATAATCGTGTTATTACTTGAGAAGATCAGACAGATAAATGCTAAAAGAGAAATATGGCTATGTTTCATAACTTGAGGTTATATTTGATTATTTCTTGGTATAATGGTATGATGGTTTTTAAGATACATCTGATTCTTGATACATCAAAATTATGTGGTTTGGAGTCGTGCCAGTTGTGAGGCAGAGACAGAGTGGTCTTCATAGGGAGGCTCAGGCTAGCCAGGACTACTTAGTAAGAACTTGTCTTAAAAATGAAAGAAAACTAAGAGAATATATAAAGGCCTTTTTACAGTTATTAACAAAAATTGTGAATGCTCTTAGGTGCATAAGATTAAAGATGTGAATTTTACATGTAATTTACATGTAATTTTACATGTAATTTACAAACATGACAGACTGAAATTACCAATGCACAGGGATCTATGTTCAAGTTCTCGAACAATGAAAGAAACAAAAACTGCAAATAAATATATAATACAGGTGAACAGTAGTTTCAGGTCTTGTATTTCTCTAAGAAAATATAAACCCACTTTTGTGATCTTTCTCTAGAATGCCAAAATAAGCAATCACCACTCAGATGTTTGCTAAGTTTTAGAAATTTTACTGCTCATTTATGGGAGCAAGACTTTTCAAAAGCAGGGATGAATTTTAGAGAAATAGGGAAAGAATATTTAAACTTAGGAAGACTTAGAGTCATTTGATAATGTCTGATTTCCAGGTGCTAATCAAGCCATACATGGTCAATAACCATGAGCTGTTAGTAGAGCAATCCCTCAACCAGTATTTGTGCCACTAACAAATCATCTTTAAGTCATATAATTCATATAGCGTAATCTAAAATAATGAGTCACTCATGGATTTATAAATATTTGTTTATGATAGCATTGTTTCTGTTATTATCTGTTTTTACTGAAAATGCAAAAAAAAGTACAATATAGCGCTAAAAAGTGCCCTTTAAAAAACATTTTTTTTCCTGTTTGAAGATGTAGATGTTTTGGGAAGAAGTAATTTACTGTTTTAATTCTATTATAATTAATTCATTCTGCCATACATGGTCTTTTTTTTCTATTCCTTTTAAGTAGTTACATGGAGCAGTACCCTGAGCAGTACCTCTGAGTTCTTTCTTTCAAGATGTATTATCACCTGAGAAAGGACAAGAATAAAATAAGATCAAACAGAAAGTTTAAGTATTGGCCAGAAGATTCACTCAATTTTTCTCATCTTTCTGACATTTCTTACTAATTCTACCTAATCTTTTATCACTTAATTTTACCTGTTTCTAATTATCTTCTGGAACTGAGCATTTTAGGTTAATTCAACTTCCACTATTCCTGAAAAGAGTTGAAATAATTTAAAAACAGATATGAATGATGAACACAAGACCAGGGTGAGGAATAATGGAAAATAATCATAGCTCATTGGCTAGTGACAGTTAAAAACATGCAATGATGACTGGGAAAGATTTCTTTTTGCCATGTTTTTTTTTTCTTTTCTTTTTCACACAATTGTCATCAGATTATTCCCAACCACACATGATTCTTGAAGGAAGGATGGAAAAATATGATGAGAGATAATTGAGAACCAACCTCGGTTCTAGAATGTGCTACACTTTCTCATCTACACATTTCACAAGGCTTTCATAAGGTTTCTTAAATTGTACTGGTAGGTATTAAAATTACTAGTTTATTAAAGACTAGATAATGATTAAAGATTCTATATTTATTATGTGAAACACTTGTAAGAGATTAGATTGCTTTATTCCAGAATGATTAGTGTGGGTTCTTGTGGCGAATGCCTTTAACTCCAGCACTCAGGAAGCAGAAGCAAATGTACCTCTGTAAGTTTGAGGCCAGCATGGTTTAGAAAATGAGGTCAGGACAGACAGGATTACACAGAATGTCTCAAAAACAGCAACAACAAAAAATAGTTAAAATAAACAGGCTTAGATAACATGAATATATATATATATGCTCCTAAATAATCCAGGATTTCTTTCATTGCTGAGATGGGAAAAATAAAAGTTAAATCTATAAATAGTTTATTTGGATAAACCAAACTGAACAAATGTTTAGTGTGTTATAGGGGCCAGCTTTTACAATAATAATAAAAAATAAAGCTAATTTTGAAGGCTTCTTTGTTCCTAGAATAAAGGTTAATAGAATGTTATTGTTTGCTACTGTATAATAACAAAAAAAAGTTCTGTAGCAAATTTAGCAGTATGCGATTCCATAAATGGACTTCTAAATATGAAGTATTCTTTGTTCTTAAAATACTGTGGTACTAGAAGATGTTGATTTTGTGTTTACTTTTTCTTGAGAAATGCATTTGGGCCCTAAATGAGACAATGATCTTTCTAATAAAAATGTATTGTATTTTAGGTAGGCATGAAAGTTAACTGTTTGTTTTTTTTTTCTCTTAAGTACGTCTCCTTTTACTTCTGTGTAAAATCGTTTAAAATGCCTACTAAGCAGTAAGAACAAATGATAAAAAGCAACAAAGACGAACCCAATGGGCACAAATCCACAATCTTTATTGGTTCACAGTATTCTTCCTAAAGCCAGTGCCACCTTGTATTCATGACAAATTGCTCTCCCGGCAATGCCCATTTTCCCCAGTGATTAATGTAACACCATTGAGTTTTCAGAGGTTGTTTTCTTAATTTGACTGGCCAGGAAGCATTTTCCCTGTTGAAAAACAGGTGTAAACATCAATACTCAAGATAAGAGTGACCTCATGCTGGTTTCGGGGTCCCCAGTGTGGGGGATTCAGCAGGCAGAGCTAGCTGGCTGATTGAGCACAGCAATTTATCAGAGCAAAGCACTAGAAAAATGTTTGCTGTGACTCAGAGACTTTTACTGAAAGAATGACAAGAAACCTTTCAACAGCCAAATAAATTGTCAAGCATTGGGAATATATCAGGGTTGTGTGACAAACATATGAAATCAAACCCTAGTACAGTAATTACAGGTAATTGAGGAAATGTTTCTAATTCCCTTGCTGTGTAAATTATATGCCTATCTGCTGGGAACAAAATTTCTCTCCAAGGATTTTCCTGAGGCTTCTCGTAGCTTGACACTGGAAGCATTGCTTGAGGTCTCTCTTTGCTTCTCTGAGTACTTTAGACTGGTTTTAATGAAATGAGGGAAGATTTGGTTATTGAAGAGTAAGCTGTTCTTTCTGTTTGATGTCATCCCTCAATTTGAATCAAATATTAGTTTATGACAGCTTGACTAATTATGGATTGGAGACTGAAATGTATAGTTCAAATCTTTATTCGGTAACTTCTCTTTGATGTCCTGTATTCAATCAGTCATAAACCTGTCAGAACATCCCATTTGATTCTATACTAGTTGACTCAATATTTGCTAAAGACTCCTAGGTACTACAAATTTGTTAGAAGGCGTTACCAGCTTATTGGGGTAAGAATTGCAAGACTTTAAACTGTACATTAACATCGTTTGTGAAAACAGGAGGAGCAAAATAACAATTATAATAACAATTGGCTTCTTTTGTTTGTTTGTTCCTAAATATTTCTCTCATCCTATTTCTTATAATTTTCTTTAAAGGAAAAATAAAGTCATTTAACATGCATACACATACTCATCGTTAACACTTCTTTAATCATATATGGTGATATTTGTGTTTATTTCTGTATGTGTTGTTTTTTTGTTTACTTCTTTGACAAAGCATGTCATTTTTATTTTGCATAAATGTATTTTGCTACTGCATGTGAGATTTTTCAAACGACTCAAAGAACAAGCCAATTCTTGTCATTTTAAATTTCACTCAAAATGTTGCAAATGATTTACGTATTCTCAAACATAGCTCCCAGGTTTTCCTTTTGCTGGAGCATGAAAGAGAAGTGAAAGAAAAATGACAGAACCTGTGTGCTACAATTGTTTTGTACCTGTTATTCCGTTTCAGCTTAAAAAAAAATAAGCACAATTAAGATGTGTGTATTTATAATTTGAATCGTTCGTGTTTCTCTTCTGTTTGCATGATATGATTTTATTTTATATTTTGTTTCTTTCCACTCACCAGATGTTCCCACCACTTTGCTTCCCACTACTATCATCCCCTCCCTTACCACTGCACCAGTAACCACCACTGTAGCCATAACAACCAGCCCAAGTACATCTGCATCAAGCAGCAGCAGAAGAGGTACAGTATGCTTCTTTGTTTTAGCCTAGAAGCCCAGGAAGTGGGGCTGATTAGAAGAGTGTTGTTCAGAATAAAATAACGAGACACAATTTACATATTTGTATTATTTTTGGTTATACCATATAATTAGGTCAACAATTAGTATGAAGTAGAATTACTGAAGGAGGATATGAGTCAAATGAAATATTTTAAATTTAGTGTCACTTAGGACTAGTCTCCAGATATTACAGGGTGTTGTTTAAAAAGATATGCATCTCCACCACATTGAGCAAGCTTGAAATGTGAAGATAGGATGCATATTTTGATTTGCCTTGAAGTGTAAAGAAATAACATGCTCAGTGATGCGGAGATAGCATTTGGCTGTAAATATCCTACATTAATGTTGTAGGCTTGATATTCCTCTACAAATTGAAAGTTTGCACGTTGTTGAATTTTTCTAAAATGAACAGTCATATGTGACTCAGCACTTGGAACTTTCAAGTAAATACTCAAAATATATGTCATCATAAAGTGATTCCGCTAATAGAATATTCTAGAATGGAATATTATAGAGTTTTATGACCTAATGTGAATTTGTTATTAGCTTGAATACTCTATGATTAGTATTCAAATAAGTACTTTATTTCAAACCGAAGAGAGCAACCTTACTTAAAGTAATTGAAATATACTTAAAAGCAAAAAATAACAATTACAGGAATTATGAAAAGAAAATATGCTTCTAATTTAATATATTCACAACAAAGTGCCGAGAAAATTTCTCATTTAACCATCTGCTTTTCCTACTTACATGCATTTTGTGTTTAGAGCTATACTAACATATTAAGTGTAATGATTTAACTGGATGTTCATGGAGATTTATGGTTCTACGGGTATCTAAATTGCAACAAGAATGGTTTACTTTTTTCTCTATTTTATATCTTCCCTTATATGACATTTCTGGTACAGTTTATGTTTCTCCTCAAAATCTTATTCATTCTTGATAAGAAAATCAGTTGTAGCCTTCAAAACAGTTTTAAAAACTTGTTTTTCTCTTGGTGAAAAAAAAAAAGAAAAACACATTTGGTAAATGTTAACTATTTATTACCATAGCCAGCTATATTATAACATGTCAATTTGTGGTGAAAAACTAATTTGATGTCAGTAGCAATAAGAGTTTCTGAGAAATATCTTGTTTATTTGTGTCTGATGAATGAATTTATTTTCAGCGGTATTTGTTAACTTTTGTTAGAAAAATTTAGAGGTTTTTCTTGTTTGTTCAATTAAGAGGAATTTTAAAAATAACAGAAAACTTATGCCTTAAATACTTCTATTTATAACAGAGAGCTAAATTTCTTCTCTTTGTTTCAAATATCCTTAGAATATTATATAAATTTTATGATACTAAAAGTAAGGGGATTAGTTTTATTCTTACGCAAACATATGAGTAAACAAGAAAAGTCAAGTGTCTGTGGTCATGATGGTGAGTCTTTACGGGCCTAGCAATATGACTGTCCAAATGTGAACAAGGATGATGACAATGGACGTGTGAAGTTACATGGGGAAAACTCACCACACCTCACCCCTTCACAAAGAATTATAGGCAACTGAGAAAACTGAGAGCAGGAGAAGTGGTCCTCCCCAGGATTAAAGGTAACTGATGCAACTGAGACCAGGAGAAGTGCCCTTCCCTAGGGAAGATATCTAGTACTAGTCAGCCCTGAAATCATATATACAAGTGACATTATATGGACCAAATAAGTTATATACTATAATATATGAACATAGGAACTCATATATACATGCAGTAATAGCTAATGAAACTAATGCCATAAATTTGAAGGAGAACATGGTAGGAAGTATATGTGAGAGTTTGGAAAGTGCAAACAAAAGGGAGAAATATTATAATTAAAACACTATCTCAAAGTAATAAAAAAATAAACTGACATGCATCCACAAAACATAAAATAGACTCCTTTTATTTTCCTGTTTAAACATAGAAATAAACATTTAGAAGGCAGTAAGTTGTAAAGAAATTGAATATTTACCTTAGTATTACATGTAATTTTTTTGTGTTTAGTAAAAACAGAAGACAGTGAATGTTAGCCTAATCCCCATTTTTTTTCTCTTTTCAACTAACATCAGGAGATTAGAAAAAGTAGCCAACGTCACCTAGACCACTAATATTCTAGTTCATATTTGGCAGGGGGATATTTAGATAATTCAGTCAGTCTGAAGCTGCAGATGTCTTCCTATGCAAGTTTTATGATGCGGAGGTTTTGCACACTGCCAATCAGATTTGAGGTTTTATGCAAATATGTTTGGGGATAATTTGTTATTCAAATTTTATGAAATATTTCAATATTGTGATTAACAGGATTGACTATGAAACCATATTGACTTAGAAAAACATGAGAAGCAAAGGGAAAAAAAGTTTGTTTTGTAAAATTTCTCCTTCTTTGTAACTGCATTCCTTTTTCTGAGTATAAATATGAAATAACCTGAATGGATATGATTTTATTAGGATTAAAAAGAGTTTCTTGAAATTTCATAAATCGTAACATTTATCTCTGCATGTATAAGAAGTTATATCAAGCGAATCATGGTTAATATCTTCACATACAATTCATATTGTTATACATTGTTCTACCCCATAAATGACACACGTTGAATTTAGCTCTATCCAAATCAGAAAGTGAAGTGAAATGTAGCAACATAAACTACCCCAAGTCATCTAAGTCACAACCTTGGCATCTTTGTATCTCCTTTTGTGCATTTCTTGTGGGATATAATACAAGGAAAAACTTTTGATAGATCATATACCAGAAAAAAATGTTAAAAAAGAAATGAATCTCTTTGAGTACCTGTGGAAGAAACAGGGAATAAACAAACACTGGAGTTGTCTTTTAGGCTTAGTGGTGTGTCTTTCTTTGAAGAAGTTTTGGGCAGCGAAAGGAGAACCAAACAGAGTTTGAACATTTTCATTAAAGCAAACAAACACAAAACAAAAAAGCACTTAATTACAAATACCTTTCAGGAAAATATATATATGTATTAGTAGTGGCCTATATTCAGAAAAGAATTGAAAGTTTCCCAGTCAGCCATATCTCCTGGTTATATTTATGAGAGGAGGTAATATACAGAAACAATCATATTGTCAAACTATCGTTTTCATTATGACTGTGATATGAAGACACACTTGGATTCTACTTTTGGTCAGTTGGTAGCCTTGCTTGGCTTGGCTGTGACTACTGTATTGTCTTACATTCAGTTTTCTGTTAGTAAAATACATTAAAATTATCAATTTTTTGTTTGTTTGTTTGTTTGTTTTAACTAGCTTAGGTTACAGTTCCCTTCTTACTTCTCAAACTAACTCTAAACAGAATTCTGTGACCCTCCAAGCTTCACTACTCTGGGTAGATGTCTAAGTTTCTGGTACCAAGCATGATTTTTCTTTTGTTATGTCAGAAGCTACCATAAACTCTCAACAGTGTCACTGCCCAAACATGCAACAGTCATGCGAGTGAAGACAGTAGAATGCCCAAGAGGAGTAAGATCTATGCAACTAAAGGCAAATAAAGGAATATGGAGAGCCAGAGAGTATGATACCAATAGTCAGTCCTGAAGCCATATATGCAAGAAACACCATACAAACCAAACAGATTGCATGTGTATATGGATTTCAAAAAGAGAAAGGAGGGGTTTGTGGGAGGATTTGGAAAGAGCAAAGGGGAGTTTAATCTTTAATTACAGTATCAAAATTAAAATAAATAATTTTAAAAGTTCTATCACCCAAGAAAAGGTATAGACTTAAGTCAGAGTTACCCACTTACTGGGTAATTATCAAAGTAGAATTTGAAAAAGTAAATCTTAGAAGTGTATGTATAAATTATTCAGTTAATAATGAAATGGAAGATTTTTAATTTCAAGGACACATTGCATTTTGGATTCTTCAGGATTTTTTTAGTGGTAATTTATTAATTGATTTTTTTTTCAAACTACTTTGATTCTGTTCTTGAAGAAAACTATTATGTGAATATGATGATAGGGAATACAAAAGTTCTCAAGTTCCTGATCATTATGTGTCTTTTGACAGATATCTATTTTCCATGGCATCAAAGAATTAGTGATTTATGGTATATACCTAAATTCTGAAAGTTTTATAGATCAAATACTTTCATTACAAAAGACAATTGGTATAACACATTTTAAATTTTGCTTTTGGAGTTTCTCGTTTGTTTGTTTTTTAACTCATTGGCCTAAGAAACCATTGTACTTTGCAATATATACTTATATATGTATATATAATGACAATTTACATTCTCCTTTATATTCAATCCATTATACATACATATATGTATGTCTACATATTCCTTTATAAGCGTTGTCTCTTTGAGTCACAGACCTAACTCTCAGTGAGTTAAATATAACTATTTATGAAAATGGTTATGAGTGGGTTGATCTGATTTTAACATTACCTTACCATGACATAGTATGTAAGAAAATGGCAATCATGATTAAGATACACTTTTCACTTCGTAATAACCTTGTGAAGTTCTAGTAGACACTAATGGCACCATCATTTTATAAATGGTGATTTGAACTTAATTGCAATTCAGCTGTTTTATTTTAGAAAGCATAAGTTATATGATCATTGTATACATTTACTGTGGTATTTTAAATGAAAATCATAATTGACTCTTCATGTTTAAGACAAAAGTATTATTAAATATTGACATATCTTTTTATAAAGATATACATATCATATTATTATAGGAATGACCTGATCATTACGACATTTATGTCCAATTGAATTTGTTCAAACTATCATATGTTTCAAATGTAGCATGAAAACAAAATTGTTTATCTGATCACTGTAAACATAAGAATTTTCTATTTTGTTCTATTTTATTCTAGAAAATTCATATCAAATTTTGTAGTAGTTCTTTGTAAAAAGTCTCAAAATATGGACGTTATAGACAGTGTTATCACAGAATGTAATAGAATAGCTCAGATGTTCCATG